TCCATAAAATGCAACCTTTTTATTCTGACAGTGTATGATTTCTATTAACATTACAGAATAGAACATGATCAGTATTTATCGTTCAACGTTCAATTTCAATAAATGTAATTGCACAAACTATGTAGGTTACAATTTCAATTTGTTTATTGTGAAATAACTCAAACATATATGTTTTTTTTCCTTCTGTCCTCTGATAAGCATTGTTCAGGGCTGCCGTTCCCAAAATCTTTAATGCTTTCTTATGATACTTTTGGGAAACGCAGCCCTGTTTGAATGCACTGTCAGCAGTGAGTGAATGCTCTCTGTTACAGTTGAACTACGGTCACTTTAGTAAAACCATGGTTCATTATCATAAGGGACTGCCAGTGACAGGCTGTTGCATCCATAAAATGCAACCTTTTTATTCTGACAGTGTATGATTTCTATTAACATTACAGAATAGAACATGATCAGTATTTATCGTTCAACGTTCAATTTCAATAAATGTAATTGCACAAACTATGTAGGTTACAATTTCAATTTGTTTATTGTGAAATAACTCAAACATATATGTTTTTTTTCCTTCTGTCCTCTGATAAGCATTGTTCAGGGCTGCCGTTCCCAAAATCTTTAATGCTTTCTTATGATACTTTTGGGAAACGCAGCCCTGTTTGAATGCACTGTCAGAAGTGAGTGAACGCTCTCTGTGATGGATTGGTTCTGTCTTGTAACATTTGCGTGTGTTCAGATGAGCAGGAATATAGTTCTGTCCTACACAATTATTTACTAACATAGGTTATTCGTTCAATTCAATGCATAATTTTGTTGTTAAATAAACAATCACTGGTAAATAAAACACACCTTAGTATCGATATTTATTGTTTGAGTATCGATACTCTTTACTTTCGATACTCGCATCAGTATCGAGATATCGATACTTCGGATCGATACGCCCATCCCTAGCGTTGAGCTCTCTCGGCCACCGTAGAGGAATAAACTGTTCATAATAAGATCCATCATATAGATTTAGACAATAATTGGGGTGAATTTTAATTTATACAGACTTTAATCCTTTTTATATACTACACTGATGGCATTAGTGGATGAACGCGCTGTACTGAGTGAGCTTCACTCTTGTATTAACGTTACAGTGACAGCCTAAAGCATCATGTCAACATCCGCAGGAAGTAAAACATTTTTTTTTAAAAAGCCGCTGTCAAATACAATAGTCATGACAATTGTACACTAGAATCTTTACATAAAAACTTTTTGTGACCTTTAAATACACATTTTAAATGAAATAACCACTATTTGACCGAAAGCCGCGGTTAAATGTACGCAGAACTCGACGATCTGCGTTAGTTAACGCGCTCGATTGACACTCACCGATCAAATTCGGCACGAACAGGAAGATATTTTCTTCGGCCATGGTGACGAGCGTTTCTATTTGGTCGGAGCTGCCTGCAATTTCTATTCTAGGTTTCTATGTTTCTATTTCCCTCTTCAAACCGCTCCGACTGCTGGAGGACTGTAGCGGAGCGTGGCGTAATGTTTCCCGTACGTGCGCACGACGTCAGAGGACTCCTCCCCTTTAAGTGGCGCGCGCTGTCCTGTGTCACCGAGTGAATGCATCACATGCCACGGCTGACAGTACAGTGACAGAGTAGGGGAAGGCCGTGTTTAAAAACTCATCTCAACCCAGCCATTAGTTTAACTGCAATGGAAACGTATATATTAATTGAAACATGAAGTTTCTTTTCGAATAAATTTATTATACAAAAACAGTGGTTTTATAGGTCAGTTAGAAATGCTTCAAATTAAAATTATGAACTGCAAAAATATGCATATTCAAGGGATAATACACAGTCTGTAGGCCATTAGCGCTAAATAAATCTGAATAAGGCGCATTTATTTTTGTAATAAGTGGTTTATTTTGATAAAATGTGCATTATCCCACTTTCCTTTCACAACTACTTTAAATTTAGACCATTTAGAATCAAGTGCAGTGTTTTGACTGATTTTTTTAAAGGGGTCATATGATGCGATTTCAAGTTTTCATGAACATTAAAGCATGTCAACATTCTGTTACACCAAATAATGATCTTTAAAATAGCATCATATGACCCCTTTAAATTTTGTGTTTAATAAAAAAACACACAATTCATATGCAGTGTCAGTTTGTTTAATTTTACAAAATGTAGTTTATGATTACGGAAAATTAAACATTTAACCACTAGAAAATATTTTATGTTTAACCACTGTAAAATGTGTTAAGTTCTTACTGTTTTCACATAAAAAAAGCTCCTGCAACGTTCTGGGAAAGTGACATTAGTATAAAATAAAAACCTTAACATAACCATTACAGAGCATTGCGTAAGTTCTTATATTAAGCTGTTAACTTAGGTTAATCACAAAAACCTCCATGCAAAGTTGTGAGAACTTTAGTTTATGGTTATAAAATTATATAAAAGGAACAGAAACTAAAAAGAACATTCTAACAGTGTTAGGAACATCACCAAAGTCTTTAAAGCCATGTTGGCATTCCAACCTGAGAATTATCTTAATGTTTTTATCCGTTGTTTAGCTATCTTTAGATGAAAATGTAATTGCAATGCCCTTTAAACAAGAACACTGCAGAACAGAAAAAAATTTACAGAATGTAACTGCAAAATATCCCATAAATGGAATGATTTTGTGACTAAAAATAGCCTTACACAAGAAACATGTTTTTGTTTTTTGTAAGCAACCAGTAATTCCCATTTAGTACTGCCTCCGTCTCTATGGAAACGGTCTTTTCTCTACCTTCAGCATCACTGTGGTGACGGTGCATGGAAGATGCGCACTCACCATTCAGAAAACAGGCTAGAGGTGCTGAAAACAAATTGTGCATTAGTGCAGACAGATCACACAGGAAAGGTCATTTTGTTTGAATCCGTTTTAATGACTTGCAAATCATTTTCTGTACAAGTTCTATAGCCCATGTGTTAAAGAGTTCTCCTGTAGTCATTTCACCTGAACGCAATTTGGCCTATTTTTCTGAGCTCCCTGAACAACCATGCTCTCCATCCCCCTTCAAACATCACAATTTTGCAATACATTTCGGCATAGGCAACACGCACACTTCCAGGCAACTGCAGCTGCAGTTCCACCATTTTAGCTCCAATTCTTTAAACACTGCAGAATGATGACAGCAATTTTATACATTTACCTTAAGTTTACCAGATACTGAAACACACCCTCAAGAGGACACACTAATAAGAATCCAGCATGTGTTGCTGTAAACACATTACATGGTAGCCCAGATCTACAGATGGGCTGAGGATTTTTATTTTTTCTCCTTTTCTGTCCACAGATGTTGGCAACCAAGTAAAGTAAGGACATAAGGGAATGCGGTGATGTGAGGAAAATGTGTTTGGGAATGAAGTGAACACTGAAAACGGAGTAAGAAGCGATCGGCCAGGCACAGGGAAGTGAGGTACTGCATGTCTCCTCGGTTCAGGAGAGCCCGAGTGAACGCTGGTGTCTAAAGAGAGCTGGCAGTGTGGGAGCGCAAAAGATTTCGGTTTTCCCGAAGGAAAAATATAACATTACTGGCAAAATCGAGCTTCATCTTTCACCACGTTCTTACGGGTACGCTGGAGATTTTGGTTGTCAGTGTAAACAGCTTGTGATGCCTTTTGTCCGTTTTGTAAATAAAAATTAAAAATGCGCAAAAATAAGTAATGCATTCCAGAAAACGAAATGGAGGGAAAAAACCTGCTGGATCGAACGGGGGTGTTTGACACTTTACAGTCGTCTAGAAATATTCTATACAGCTAAAATCTCTTAAAATGTTCTGTACAAGTTTAATACTGGCTCTAAAATACTACTCTCCTGACAACGCACTGCACAATAGACTCCTACCCTGAGATGTAACAAGGAATGCTGGGATAGGTAGTCCTTTTTTTTTTTTATCTAAATCTTAGAGACTTAAAATTCCTACTGTGACACTGCCAACATTTCCCACCTAGTGGTAAGCATTGTTTAAAAAAACAACAACAACAAAAGTCTAAAAAAAAGATTGTAAAAAGAAAAATTAGTGTACAACACAAATATAACAGCGGCAGTAGTAGGTGTATTAACAATGACAGTATCTATTTTTTCCATCTCACTTTCCAATTCACATAGTAAAATTATTATTACCCTATATAAGAGTTAGTGCTTGTATATACATATGTTGTATAAGTACAATATAGATCAAGTGTTGAACAGGAAACAATCTTACGACTTTCCCTTTCAAACCTTTGACAGGTGATGTATTATACACATATATACTCAAAGTCATATATAAACGTCTGTTGTGTATGTTTGTATACAAATGGTCTCTGTACATCAGTCTCATGCACGGAAACTTGTAACCCAACTCTCTTTTGGACATGTACATCATATTTACACAGGAAAGGGAAATGGCTTATTCACCCAGCCAGGTTCAATCTCTTTTTAAAAGTAATTTTATCACCCTACGCTAAACACAGACACTCAATTACAGCCCAGTTAAAACCAACTGCAACTTAAATGGCAGCTTGCCCTTATAAGGACAGTGGGCGGAGTTGCTTTAGGTCAGCTGAGCCTCTAGATGGCAGTATGTGGCATCTTTAAAAAAAAAAAAATAAAAAAAATACAGAATACAAAAATCATTTTAAAATAAAAAACTGCCTCCTGTCCTTGACTCAAATACAAATGTACAATTTAAACCATCACTGATAGACGTTATTTTAGTATTGTTAGAGTGCTATCTACATAATTACACAAAAATCAGTTTAATCACCCTTTTAGTTCCTCAGTTTATGCCTCATCTCCCTGAAACATGCTACAGCACCTTCTATTGCATCCGACTCGCTCCCGTTAGCAGTAAAACTGACATTAGTAGGACTCATAATCCTCTGGCTCAAACTCAAGTTACACTCATCAGTCTATAATTCTGCCATTATTCACTCACCCTTGTGTCATTTCAAACCTGTATGCCGTTATTTCATCTGCAAAACACAAAAGAGAAAGAGCTCAAAGAGATATTTCACCTAAAAATGACAATTTTATAGTTTCAAAACTATAGACTTATTTTCTTCAGTGGAACACAGAAGACATTTCAAATACTGGTTACCACTGACTTCCTATGCATGAACACATTTCTCAAAATATATTCTATGTTCCACAGAAAAAAATTGTTTTTAATTTTAATTAAAATTTTTATTTTTTTTCCCCCACTGATCTCTTTAATGCAGCTCTTTTCCATTTAACGTAGGTTCACAGCTCCAAACAAAGACAAAGCACACATTTGGTTCTGCAAAAGATTAATGCATGAATATACTATTTCTGATGAATTTTCAGACCTCGATTTCAGTCTGCTCAAACAAAGCATGGTGTTTTTTTAGTCCAGTTTTGATCTTGACAGAACTTGTTGCATATAAAAGTGCTGCTTGAAAATTCTCCTTTTCTGTTCTATGAACAAAATAACAGTATGTAGGGCTCGTAACAACATGAAAGCGAGATAAATGAGATTTTTGGCAAACTATTCCTTTAAAAATAAAACCAGTCTTTAATTGAATTGCACTAAACAAATTCAGCTTAATATGGTCCAGGATTAAGCATAAAATATTATCTTGGTAAAGTCTTTTAATGTTCAAATCTTAAACCTTTAGATGTGCAAGAAAACACCTGGACATGAAAGAGCAGAATTCAATGGTTCTGTCTGACAGTTTAAAAATAAAACAAAACCAAAATGAACTGGCTGAGGATGAGCCCAATCTGCAGTATTGGCACCACTTATGTTATTTTCATCTCTTCCCTCCCTCCCACTCACTCAACAGCATAGCTTTCTGCTCCTGTTACAGTACATTTCTCGTCTTTCCTGTTCCTGATCTAAACCCTGAGCCCTCCCGCATCCCAAAACCCTGAGATCTATCTTCTTGTAAGTAAAGGTGTACCCATCTAAATACTGTTTCTCCACTCCGCCTCCCAGTTTGACTCCTAAATGAGCTACGTGAAGGCCTTTTCTCCCCAAAACGTTCAACTGCACCATCTGAACTTCCTGCATGACCCTCTACGAGTAGGAGAGGTGGGATCCGTTGGAAATGTGCGATGTCACTGACGTACTTCGGCTCAAACCTCCATCTGCGCCCGACCCACCTGCACCTCCGCCAGAGGCTGTTCTCCGAAGAGGCCCTGGACTGTTTCTCAAAGCCAACAGGCTGGGGCCCCTCACAGCCAAGCTCTCGCCCCTTCCTCCGTAGCCACTCTGAGAGGAAGAAGAGGAGGAGGAGGATGGAGGGGAAGATGAGGAAAGTGAGATGGGCGGAGGAGGAGGTGGTGGAGGGAGGAGAGCAAGGGACTGGGAAGAGGCATTGGAAGAAATGTGATGCGAGTGGCCATGAGAGGAGGATGAAGATGAGTGGTGGTGGTGGCCTCCTCCTCCACTACCGCCTCCCCACTCCCTCTCTCGGCTGTACAGGTGTGGCGTGCTCTGGTGGTGGTACTGCTGCGGCATGTAGCGGAGGTGATAATGCGAGGACGATGAAGACGATGCTG